CTGTTGCGTCATGGACGTGACAGGAGCACAAGGCTTGCTTCACCTGTTGCGTCATGGACGTGGCTTGCTTCACGTGTTGCGTCACGGACGTTGCAGGAACACAAGACCTTGCTTCACCTGTTGCGTCACGGACGTGACAGGAGCACAAGGCTTGCTTCACGTGTTGCGTCACGGACGTGACAGGAGCACAAGGCTTGCTTCGCCTGTTGCGTCATGGACGTGACAGGAGCACAAAGCTTGCTTCACCTGTTGCGTCATGGACGTGACAGGAGCACAAAGCTTGCTTCACCTGCTGCGTCACGGACGTGACAGGAGCACAAGGTTGCTTCACCTGCTGCGTCATGGACGTGACAGGAGCACAAAGCTTGCTTCACCTGCTGCGTCACGGACGTAACAGGAACACAAGACCTTGCTTCACCTGCTGCGTCACGGACGTAACAGGAACACAAGACCTTGCTTCACCTGCTGCGTCACGGACGTAACAGGAACACAAGACCCTGCTTCACCTGTTGCGTCACGGACGTGGCTTGCTTCACCTGCTGCGTCACGGACGTAACAGGAACACAAGACCCTGCTTCACCTGTTGCGTCACGGACGTGGCTTGCTTCACCTGTTGCGTCACGGACGTGGCTTGCTTCACCTGTTGCGTCACGGACGTGGCTTGCTTCACCTGTTGCGTCACGGACGTGGCTTGCTTCACCTGTTGCGTCACGGACGTAACAGGAACACAAGACCTTGCTTCACCTACTCTCAAATGACACAGATGATAAAGGATTCCAATATCACTTTTTTATCAAATGTGAAAGACATATTCCAGCCAACCTTCTCACCCTGTTCTACCAACGCCTCCCCCTTCCATCCCTTCCCTTCCCCCATCCCACATCAAAACCCTCCCTTCCTCACTCCCCAGACTCCCTAAACCTTTTACTTTTCCCATTTCCCTACAAATCTCTTTCCCTCCATCCGCCCCTCACCCACCGTCCTCCCACAGAACCCTCCTTTTCATCTCCCTCTTCCATGGCGTAATGGAAAAGGAGTCATTGTGCTTTGTCTCTTTCCTCTTGCTTTACCCACGGTGGCTCTGTAACGAGAAAGGTGACAGCATGGCCGACACCTGCCTGAAAAATGCGTGGATTTTCAACCTAGGAGACAAGGGGGGCCTATACCTTCCCCTTGACTTTTATTTGATGGTTGGGTCGTTTACCTTAGTGATTGGACATGTATCCGTGGCGCAGAGGTTCGGTATCTGTTCTTTTATGTCTTAGGAATGGTTAGTGGGTCTTCAGTGGTGGGAGTTTGAGTACAGGGTGTAGGTAACCCGCATGGGTGGTTTCCAGGCATCTTGAGGGGTTTCCAGTCCTCTTGAAGTGTTTCCAGTCCTCTTGAGATGTTTCCAGTCCTCTTGAAGTGTTTCCAGTCCTCTTGATGTGTTTCCAGTCCTCTTGAAGTGTTTCCAGTCCTCTTGAGATGTTTCCAGTCCTCTTGAAGTGTTTCCAGTCCTCTTGAGATGTTTCCAGTCCTCTTGAAGTGTTTCCAGTCCTCTTGAAGTGTTTCCAGTCCTCTTGAAGTGTTTCCAGTCCTCTTGAAGTGTTTCCAGTCCTCTTGAAGTGTTTCCAGTCCTCTTGAAGGTTTTCCAGTCCTCTTGAAGTGTTTCCAGTTCTTTTGAAGTGTTTCCAGTCCTCTTGAAGTGTTTCCAGTCCTCTTGAAGTGTTTCCAGTCCTCTTGAAGTGTTTCCAGTCCTCTTGAAGTGTTTCCAGTTCTTTTGAAGTGTTTCCAGTCCTCTTGAGACTGTCTTGCATACGAGAACGTCCTTTGAAAGTTCATGAGTCAAAAAACGCGTATACTGTTAATACTGCTAACAATAGCATTAACAATAACAATTGTTAATGCTAACAATACTGTTAAAAAAGTTCACTAGATATCGCTAAATATTATTGAGAAATAACGAGAATTTAACTGTGTCTTAATTTAACAATTGTGTTTAACAACTGCGTATTTGAGAACTACCCCTGAGAGGACTCGCTATTCAGGGGAGAAACTATGGAATATATGCATTAACAATTCTAAAGCAGCCGTTGACGGTTTGGCATTTTCGGTAGTTGAAGATTTGAAAATATCGGCTGTTGAAGATTTGAAAATGTCGATCGTTCAAGATTTGAAAATATCGGTCGTTCAAGATTTGAAAATATCGGCCGTTGAAGATTTGAAAATATCGGTCGTTCAAGATTTGAAAATATCGGTCGTTCAAGATTTGAAAATATCGGCCGTTCAAGATTTCAAAATATCGGTCGTTGAAGATTTGAAAACCTCGGCCATTGCATATTTTAAAACATAGGTTATTGAATATTTGAAAGCATCAGCCGTCGACATTTTGAAAGCCTCGAGTGTATGCATATACATTGAGAGATGTAGCGCGCTTCCCTGTATACATACACCTGCTGGTTGTTCAGTAATCACTTACGGTTGCTTTAATAACCCTTGACAATGGAGCCAGATTCACTAAAGCACTTACGCAAGCACTTACGAACCTGTTCATCTTTTCCTAATCTTTGGCGGCTTTGTTTACAATTATTAAACAGTTAATGAGCTCCGAAGCACCAGGAGGCTGTTTATAACACTAACAACAGTTGATTGGCAAGTTTTCACGCTTGTAAACTGTTTAATAAATGTAACCAAATCCGCCATATATTGAGGAAAGATGTACAGGTTCGTAAGTGCTTGTGTAAGTGCTTTCGTGAATCTGACTCAAGTACAACAACTCTGTACCAGTGAAGAATTGTAAATATAAAAACAGTCCTCCCTGAGGCAACTGCTACAGATAACGGAATAGAACAGAGATGAAAAACAGTGAATAACCGATTGCTAAAAGGTGAAGGGAAGTTTGAGAAGATGGGCAGTGCCATGGCACCGTGGGTGACTCCTCTCCCTTCAGCGCCCATCGTCTGGCGGAGAAGGGCCATTGAAATGCATCCTATTCATTAGGCTGTTAGGATGGTGAATTATTCATGACTAGACTCGCTCGAGTGAAGGAAAAAAAAAAGGGTTTTCATTTGAGAGTCACGGGAGGCGAGGCTGGCAGGCTATACTATCCTGATGTTAAGCCTTACTGCCAAAGAGGATAGCACTCTCCTGTCCCCAGTTGGTCAGGTGGGACTGTTTGGCCTGATGACCTTTGATGCGAAGGTGTTAGAGCCCACTGGCAGCCAGCGGGACTTAGTGTCCCCGCGGCCCGGTCCTCCACCAGGCCTCCACCCCCAGGAAGCAGCCCGTGACAGCTGACTAACTCCCAGGTACCTATTTTACTGCTAGGTAACAGGGACATCAGGGTTATCTTGAGATGATTTCGGGGCTTAGTGTCCCCGCGGCCCAGTCCTCGACCAGGCCTCCACCCCCAGGAAGCAGCCCGTGACAGCTGACTAACTCCCAGGTACATATTTTACTGCTAGGTAACAGGGACATCAGGGTAATCTTGAGGTTATCTTGAGATGATTTCGGGGCTTAGTGTCCCCGCGGCCCAGTCCTCGACCAGGCCTCCACCCCCAGGAAGCAGCCCGTGACAGCTGACTAACTCCCAAGTACCTATTTTACTGCTAGGTAACAGGGGCATCAGGGTTATCTTGAGATGATTTCGGGGCTTTAGTGTCCCCGCGGCCCGGTCCTCGACCAGGCCTCCACCCCCAGGAAGCAGCCCGTGACAGCTGACTAACACCCAGGTACCTATTTACTGCTAGGTAACAGGGGCATAGGGTGAAAGAAGCTCTGCCCATTGTTTCTCGCCGGCGCCTGGGATCGAACCCGGGACCACAGGATCACGCGTCCAGTGTTCTGTCCGCTCAGCCACCGGCTCCCTCCCACCGGGGAGGTAAATGTAACGGCACAAGCAAGTGTAATTATGTACTATTCACAACAGTCAGGAAATGTACTTATTATACTTAGTACTCACGCTAGCCTCCGCTGGGTTCCTATCCACCTTTTATGCCATACATTATTACCGTGTTTTGTGTTACTCCTTCGACTCCCTTGACTGAGAGCCGGTCGGCCGAGCGGACAGCACGCTGGACGCGTGATCCTGTGGTCCTGGGTTCGATCCCGGGCGCCGGCGAGAAACAATGGGCAGAGTTTCTTTCACCGTATGCCCCTGTTACCTAGTAGTAAATAGGTACCTGGGTGTTAGTCAGCTGTCACGGGCTGCTTCCTGGGGGGTGGAGGCCTAGTCGAGGACCGGGCCGCGGGGACACTAAAGCCCCGAAATCATCTCAAGATAACCCTGATGCCCCTGTTACCTAGCAGTAAAATAGGTACCTAGGAGTTAGTCAGCTGTCACGGGCTGCTTCCTGGGGGTGGAGGCCTGGTCGAGGACTGGGCCGCGGGGACACTAAGCCCCGAAATCATCTCAAGATAACCCTGATGCCCCTGTTACCTAGCAGTAAAATAGGTACCTAGGAGTTAGTCAGCTGTCACGGGCTGCTTCCTGGGGGGTGGAGGCCTGGTCGAGGACCGGGCCGCGGGGACACTAAAGCCCCGAAATCATCTCAAGATAACCCCTTGGCGTAATGTCACTTGGTTTTGAGTATTTTATTAGCGGACGTCTTTACTTGTTCCTTGTGCTGGGGTCAAGCTTGTTCTTGCTTCCTTCTGATGCTTCTTGGCAACTTAAGAATGTCAGCAATGAGAACGATCTATCATGAAGACATTCGCTCTCGGACGCAGGTTCGAATCCTCGTCACGGCCCTTGTGGATTTGTTGACATTCGCCAGGCTTAGCATTCCTGACTAAATAGATACCTCGGAGTTAGATATCTATTGAGGGTTGCATTCTGTGGGAGGGTCAATACTTCTACCATGGGAGGGGGGGGGGGGGGACCTCGATAACAGCCTAAAGTATGCATATATATATACACCGGCATCCTGTCCCCGGACATATGGAATTAGATAAACAGGCTTCGGTCTCCGAGATAACGAACTGTTTTAAGAGTGACTTTGGATAAAAATGTACAAAATATGTTTTGCTCCGAAGAAAGGTCGACCTTTCATAATACAGGTGAACTGATGGACAACACCTGCAGCAGTCATCAACCTGCAGCAGTCATCAACCTGCAGCAGTCATCAACCTGCAGCAGTCATCAACCTGTAACAGTCATCAACCTGCAGCAGTCATCAACCTGCAGCAGTCATCAACCTGCAGCAGTCATCAACCTGCAACAGTCATCAACCTGCAGCAGTCATCAACCTGCAGCAGTCATCAACCTGCAGCAGTCATCAACCTGTAACAGTCATCAACCTGCAGCAGTCATCAACCTGCAGCAGTCATCAACCTGCAGCAGTCATCAACCTGTAACAGTCATCAACCTGCAGCAGTCATCAACCTGTAACAGTCATCAACCTGCAGCAGTCATCAACCTGCAGCAGTCATCAACCTGCAGCAGTCATCAACCTGTAACAGTCATCAACCTGCAGCAGTCATCAACCTGTAACAGTCATCAACCTGCAGCAGTTATCAACCTGCAGCAGTCATCAACCTGTAACAGTCATCAACCTGCAGCAGTCATCAACCTGCAGCAGTCATCAACCTGCAGCAGTCATCAACCTGTAACAGTCATCAACCTGCAGCAGTCATCAACCTGTAACAGTCATAAACCTGTAACAGTCATCAACCTGCAGCAGTCATCAACCTGCAGCAGTCATCAACCTGTAGCAGTCATCAACCTGCAGCTGTCATCAACCTGTAACAGTCATCAACCTGTAACAGTCATCAACCTGCAGCAGTCATCAACCTGCAGCAGTCATCAACCTGTAACAGTCATCAACCTGCAGCAGTCATCAACCTGCAGCAGTCATCAACCTGCAGCAGTCATCAACCTGCAGTAGTCATCAACCTGCAACAGTCATCAATCTGCAGCAGTCATCAACCTGCAGCAGTCATCAACCTGTAACAGTCATCAACCTGTAACAGTCATCAACCTGCAGCAGTCATCAACCTGCAACAGTCATCAACCTGTAACAGTCATCAACCTGTAACAGTCATCAACCTGCAGCAGTCATCAACCTGCAGCAGTCATCAACCTGTAACAGTCATCAACCTGTAACAGTCATCAACCTGCAGCAGTCATCAACCTGCAGCAGTCATCAACCTGCAGCAGTCATCAACCTGCAGCAGTCATCAACCTGCAGCAGTCATCAACCTGCAGCAGTCATCAACCTGTAACATTCATCAACCTGCAGCAGTCATCAACCTGCAACAGTCATCAACCTGCAGCAGTCATCAACCTGCAACAGTCATCAACCTGTAACAGTCATCAACCTGCAGCAGTCATCAATCTGCAGCAGTCATCAACCTGCAGCAGTCATCAACCTGTAGCAGTCATCAACCTGCAGCAGTCATCAAGCTGCAGCAGTCATCAACCTGCAGCAGTCATCAACCTGCAGCAGTCATCAACCTGTAGCAGTCATCAACCTGCAACAGTCATCAACCTGCAGCAGTCATCAACCTGTAGCAGTCATTTACCTGCAACAGTCATCAACCTGCAGCAGTCATCAACCTGCAGCAGTCATCAACCTGTAACAGTCATCAACCTGTAACAGTCATCAACCTGCAGCAGTCATCAACCTGTAGCAGTCATCAACCTGTAGCAGTCATCAACCTGCAGCAGTCATCAACCTGCAGCAGTCATCAACCTGCAGCAGTCATCCACCTGCAGCAGTCATCAACCTGCAGCAGTCATCAACCTGCAGCAGTCATCAACCTGCAGCAGTCATCAACCTGCAGCAGTCATCAACCTGCAGCAGTCATCAACCTGCAGCAGTCATCAACCTGCAGCAGTCATCAACCTGTAACAGTCATCAACCTGCAGCAGTCATCAACCTGCAGCAGTCATCAACCTGCAACAGTCATCAACCTGCAACAGTCATCAACCTGCAGCAGTCATCAACTGCAGCAGTCATCAACCTGCAGCAGTCATCAACCTGCAGCAGTCATCAACCTGCAGCAGTCATCAACCTGCAGCAGTCATCAACCTGCAGCAGTCATCAACCTGCAGCAGTCATCAACCTGCAGCAGTCATCAACCTGCAGCAGTCATCAACCTGCAGCAGTCATCAACCTGCAGCAGTCATCAACCTGCAGCAGTCATCAACCTGCAGCAGTCATCAACCTGCAGCAGTTATCAACCTGCAGCAGTCATCAACCTGCAGCAGTCATCAACCTGCAGCAGTCATCAACCTGCATCAGTCATCAACCTGCAACAGTCATCAACCTGCAGCAGTCATCAACCTGTAACAGTCATCAACCTGCAGCAGTCATCAACCTGCAGCAGTCATCAACCTGCAGCAGTCATCAACCTGCAGCAGTCATCAACCTGCAGCAGTCATCAACCTGCAGCAGTCATCAACCTGCAGCAGTCATCAACCTGTAACAGTCATCAACCTGCAGCAGTCATCAACCTGCAGCAGTCATCAACCTGCAGCAGTCATCAACCTGCAGCAGTCATCAACCTGCAGCAGTCATCAACTGCAGCAGTCTATACATCAACCAGACGTAATCTATCCTTGTTGTAAATCGTTATTCCTATAACAAATTTACACTATCTTATTCCTATTTTAGTATATATTGAACTATAATGAGAAACAATAGGATTGGATCCTATAAATAAGGAAAATATAGGATTGGATCCTATAAATAAGGAAACTATAGGATTGGATCCTATAAATAAGGAAAATATAGGATTGGATCCTATAAATAAGGAAAATATAGGATTGGATACTATAAATAAGGAAACTATAGGATTGGATCCTATAAATAAGGAAAATATAGGATTGGATACTATAAATAAGGAAACTATAGGATTGGATCCTATAAATAAGGAAAATATAGGATTGGATCGTATAAATAAGGAAAATATAGGATTGGATACTATAAATAAGGAAACTATAGGATTGGATCCTATAAATAAGGAAAATATAGGATTGGTCGTTTCCATCTTGTTTTCAGGTCCAGTACAAAATCAGTAACACAGGCTTCATCCACAATCGCCATAGCTATAACAAAATTTGCTGTAGCAACCTGTATAACAGTTTATTTTTTATCGGACCACAGAGCCTATTCCCCTCCTGTTTGACTCTTCCTATTGGTGAGTGAAATTAACAGAGATTTGTTAAGTTAGATTTATTACATTTATACAATGATATCATGGGGCCTTGAAGATCATGTCAGTAGTGAGACGAGAAATTAAGTCTGGTTTTAATATCTTGAGTTCGCTATAGTGCTGGTGCCTGGGGGAGGCCACTCACGCGTGTTCGATCCCATTGTATGGCTTCAGTATCTTGTCATAGTATTTTCAGATGACTTTATTGTGCAGGAGTCGGCTTTATTAGCTTTTTGTTAGTGTGGTTGTGATGTATTCCTGATTGTGTGTACGAGGTTAACTCACACTCAGAGAGGGTGTCTCTGAATGGCCTAGTGCTTCGATAGTGACACGTGTTGATGCGTTGATAATCTCTTCCGTTGATAATCTCTCCCGTTGATAATCTCTCCCGTTGATAATCTCTCCCGTTGATAATCTCTCCCGTTGATAATCTCTCCCACTGATAATCTCTCCCACTGATAATGTCTCCCACTGATAATCTCTCCCGTTGATAATCTCTCCCGTTGATCGTCTTTCACATTGATAATCTCTCCCACTGATAATCTCTCCCACTGATAATCTCTCCCACTGATAATCTCTCCCACTGATAATCTCTGCCACTGATAATCTCTCCCACTGATAATCTCTCTCATTGATAATTCCTTCGATATAGAATCTCCCTCATCGATAATCTCTCCACTGATGACCTCTAACTAATAATCTACCCAACAGATAATTTCTCATATGCCGCACAAGTGATGATTCCCACTGATAATCCTTCTCACTGATAGTCCTCCTAATAAATAATCCTCCCATTGATAATCTCTCCCGTTCAGAAACTATTGGGCTTTCAAGATGAGATTTTTATCCCCACAGCGACTACCAGGAACTAGCGACGGCCTTAACAAATACTCGGATTTGTCTGTCCAAAGACCCGCGGCGCTCCTCTGACACCCACAGATGGTTTAAGGTGATTGATGTCCAAAGAATGCCGTCTTTTCCTACCTGGAAGAATACATGTTTCTGACGATGTCACGTGAAACTCCCACATATGTGGAAAGTGAGGGGTCCATCCTGAACACTCACTAAGCAGGAGTGGGATGAGTTAGCGAGGCATGAGGAGAGATAAGGGGTAGATGGCTTGGTAGATGGTAGTAGACGCGGTAGATGGTAGTAGATGTTGAGTGCGCCTGTTCTCATTATATGTGTTAACAACATAGGAGTTCAGGAAACTGTGTTGCCCTCTATTGACACATACTAGGCAGCTCCTATTTATGTCCACTCAAACTCCTTCATACTCGCTTCATACAACGCCTTCAGGGGGTCATGGTGGCTCAGTGGACAGCGCTCGGGAATCGTAATCCTAGGGTTAGGGGATCGATTCCCGGCGATAGCGGAAACAAATGGGCATAGTTTCTTTTATCCTGATGTCTCCGTTCACCTAGCAGTAAATAGGTACCTGGGAGTTAGACAGTTGTTACGGGCTGTTTCCTGGGTGTTTGTGTGTGTGAAAAACAAAAAAATGTTGATTGATTGACATTTGAGAGGCAGACCGAAAGAGCCAGAACTCAACCCCAGCAAACACAACTAGGTGAATACAACAAGGTGAACATGCGTCCAACCTACGCATGAAACAATCACATGATCCTACATCTATCACGTTACCGTGTAATTTGATGCATAGATCAACTACCCTCTTTCCAAACCAGTATTTACCCAGGTCACTCCTGAATCTGAACTGATCCAATTTACATCTAATGTTTCGTGCTGTATTTCGAGTTCAAATATTTGACATCAGTGGTGCAACAGGCAAGATTGTCTAGCTACGTCCTAGAACAGGTACTTGCTGTATTTTGTATTTCATAGGCACACATCTGCCTCTTTGGAAGTGCCATTTCAAGGGTTACATAGAACAGTTGTGTTCTATGTAACTTACATAGAACTTACATAGAACAGCTGTGTTCTATGTAACTCCCGCGTCTCCTGATATGAAATTACCTTCCAGGCATTTGGGGGCTGACAGGTGAACACTTTGGCACTGGGGGCTGTCAGCAGACCCCCCCCCCCCACAGTGGCACTCTAAGCTGCGAAGTAGTTAACTGGCACACTGAGGTGCCAGTTGCAGTCTCAATGTGGCACTCAGAGCTGCCAGCTTCAAACTTTTGGCACTTCGGGCTTACAACCCTCAGTTTCCTGTCCTTAGGAGACGTCTGGTAACATTAAGGTAGTCTTTAAGGTGACATTAAGGTAGTCTCAAGGGTGACATTAAGGTAGTCTCAAGGGTGACATTAAGGTAGTCTCAAGGGTGACTGGTAACATTAAGGTAGTCTCAAGGGTGACTGGTAACATCAAGGTAGTCTCAAGGGTGACTAGTAACATTAAGGTAGTCTCAAGGGTGACATTAAGGTAGTCTCAAGGGTGACTGGTAACATTAAGGTAGTCTCAAGGGTGACTGGTAACATCAAGGTAGTCTCAAGGGTGACTAGTAACATTAAGGTAGTCTCAAGGGTGACTGGTAACATCAAGGTAGTCTCAAGGGTGACATTAAGGTAGTCTCAAGGGTGACTGGTAACATCAAGGTAGTCTCAAGGGTGACATTAAGGTAGTCTCAAGGGTGACTGGTAACATCAAGGTAGTCTCAAGGGTGACTAGTAACCATTAAGGTAGTCTCAAGGGTGTGTGGTAACATTAAGGTAGTCTCAAGGGTGACCAGTAACATTAAGGTAGTCTCAAGGGTGGCCAGTAACATTAAGGTAGTCTCAAGGGTGACTGGTAACATTAAGGTAGTCTCAAGGGTGACTGGTAACATTAAGGTAGTCTCAAGGGTGACTGGTGACATTAAGGTAGTCTCAAGGGTGACTAGTAACATTAAGGTAGTCTCAAGGGTGACTGGTAACATTAAGGTAGTCTCAAGGGTGACTGGTAACATTAAGGTAGTCTCAAGGGTGACTAGTAACATTAAGGTAGTCTCAAGGGTGACATTAAGGTAGTCTCAAGGGTGACTGGTAACATCAAGGTAGTCTCAAGGGTGACTAGTAACCATTAAGGTAGTCTCAAGGGTGACATTAAGGTAGTCTCAAGGGTGACTGGTAACATCAAGGTAGTCTCAAGGGTGACTGGTAACATCAAGGTAGTCTCAAGGGTGACATTAAGGTAGTCTCAAGGGTGACTGGTAACATTAAGGTAGTCTCAAGGGTGACATTAAGGTAGTCTCAAGGGTGACTGGTAACATTAGTCTCAAGGTAGTCTCAAGGGTAGTCTCAAGGGTGACATTAAGGTAGTCTCAAGGGTGACAAGTAACATTAAGGTAGTCTCAAGGGTGACTGGTAACATCAAGGTAGTCTCAAGGGTGACTAGTAACCATTAAGGTAGTCTCAAGGGTGACTGGTAACATTAGTCTCAAGGTAGTCTCAAGGGTGACTGGTAACATTAAGGTAGTCTCAAGGGTGACTGGTAACATTAAGGTAGTCTCAAGGGTGACATTAAGGTAGTCTCAAGGGTGACTGGTAACATTAAGGTAGTCTCAAGGGTGACTGGTAACATTAAGGTAGTCTCAAGGGTGACTGGTAACATCAAGGTAGTCTCAAGGGTGACTAGTAACCATTAAGGTAGTCTCAAGGGTGACTGGTAACATTAAGGTAGTCTCAAGGGTGACTAGTAACCATTGAGGTAGTCTCAAGGGTGACTGGTAACATTAAGGTAGTCTCAAGGGTGACTGGTAACATCAAGGTAGTCTCAAGGGTGACTAGTAACCATTAAGGTAGTCTCAAGGGTGACTAGTAACCATTAAGGTAGTCTCAAGGGTGACTGGTAACATCAAGGTAAGGGTCTCATTAGGGTGACTGGTAACATTAAGGTAGTCTCAAGGGTGACTGGTACATTAAGGTAGTCTCAAGGGTGACTGGTAACATTAAGGTAGTCTCAAGGGACTGACATTAAGGTAGTCTCAAGGGTGACTGGTAACATTAAGGTAGTCTCAAGGGTGACATTAAGGTAGTCTCAAGGGTGACTGGTAACATTAAGGTAGTCTCAAGGGTGACTGGTAACATTAAGGTAGTCTTAAGGGTGACTGGTAACATCAAGGTAGTCTCAAGGGTGACTAGTAACCATTAAGGTAGTCTCAAGGGTGATTGGTAACATCAAGGTAGTCTCAAGGGTGACTAGTAACCATTAAGGTAGTCTCAAGGGTGACTAGTAACCATTAAGGGAGTCTCAAGGGTGACTGGTAACATCAAGGTAGTCTCAAGGGTGACTGAACATTAAGGTAGTCTCAAGGGTGACTGGTAACATTAAGGTAGTCTCAAGGGTGACCATTAAGGTAGTCTCAAGGGTGTGTGGTAACATTAAGGTAGTCTCAAGGTGCATGGTAACATCAAGGTAGTCTCAAGGGTGACTAGTAACATTAAGGTAACATTAAGGTAGTCTCAAGGGTGACTGGTAACATTAAGGTAGTCTCAAGGGTGACATTAAGGTAGTCTCAAGGGTGACTGGTAACATTAAGGTAGTCTCAAGGGTGACTGGTAACATTAAGGTAGTCTCAAGGGTGACTGGTAACATCAAGGTAGTCTCAAGGGTGACTAGTAACCATTAAGGTAGTCTCAAGGGTGACTGGTAACATTAAGGTAGTCTCAAGGGTGACTAGTAACCATTAAGGTAGTCTCAAGGGTGACTGGTAACATTAAGGTAGTCTCAAGGGTGACTGGTAACATCAAGGTAGTCTCAAGGGTGACTAGTAACCATTAAGGTAGTCTCAAGGGTGACTAGTAACCATTAAGGGAGTCTCAAGGGTGACTGGTAACATCAAGGTAGTCTCAAGGGTGACTGGTAACATTAAGGTAGTCTCAA